CCACGTTAAATAGTCCCTTTTCCCCCCGCCTCAGCGCGCCGCGCATGCGCGCAGAGAAAAACGCCCCCCCCGGAACCTCCGAGCCGCCAGGGGGCGCCGGCACCGCGGGCCCAGCCGGAAGCGGAAGCGGCGCCCGCGCCCTCCCCTCAACCCGGAAGCGGAAGCGGCGCGCGGGGGGGGGCGCTGAGGGAAAGAGGGAGGAGGAGGAGGAGGAAGAGGAGGAGGAGGAGGAGGAAGGGGCGGGGGGGGGCCAGTCCCAGGTGTCCCATCCCGGGGGATAGCAGCCGGGGGGGGGATGCGTCACGTCTGCACCGAGCGGCTTCCCGAGCCCCGGGCAGCGCCCCCCGCCCCCGCCGCGCCCCGGGGCCGGGGCCGGGGCTGGGGACGGGGCCGCCGCCCTTACTTGCCGATCTCCTCGTAGAGCTGGTACTCGTCGGTGAAACGGGTGCAGGGCACGGTGGTGGCCATGCTGCCGCCGCGCCGCGCCGCAATGAGCCGCCCCGGCACCGGCTCCGCTCGGCTCCGGCTCCGCCCGGCGCGGGGGGGCGGGGGGAGGCGCCGGGCCGGGGGAGGCTCCAGCCCGGGACAGCCCCCGCCGCCCCCCCCCCAGCCCGGGATCCCCGCAACCCCCTCCGCGGGGTACCCCCCCACCTCGGACCTGCCCCCGCACGCCGGGGGGATCCCCCTTGTCTCCACAAGGGCCCTATAACCAGACACCCCCAACCTCGGGACCCCTTTATCTCAAATTACCCCCGGGAGTGGGATACCAAGCCCCCACCCCTAAAGGCCCCATATCCAGACGCCCCTTCCCAGGACTCCCCCCTTAAATAGCCCGGTGTCCAGACTCCCTCTGACGGATCCCCCCCCAAGACCTCAAATCTAGACTCACATCCACACCCCCCGCAATAGGACTCACATCCATACCCCTCCTAACAATCTCACAACCTCCCGCAAAGGACCCCAAACCTGCACCCCCTCCGGATCCCACATTCTCCCCCTAGAAAGCCCCAATATCCAGATAACCTGCTGAAAGCCCCCACATGCATGCCCTGCCTTGCCTCTCGGGGAATTCGCCCTATTCCCCCCAATACTTAGCTCCCTCCTCCCGCACCAATGTCACCCCAAACAACCCTTCCAGGCTCCAACCCCTCCCTAACCAAAACACCCGGGAGAGGTCGAGGCTGGACAAAATCACTCTCCTGCTTCCCCCAAGGGCACCTTGAAGCCCCCCCAGTGTCAGCAGCATAATGCGGGGGTGGATTTTGATGCGGGGGACACACAAAGGGCCATCCTCAAGGCCACCAGTAGCCGCAGGGCCTGAGGACAGCGGGGTGTTCCCCCCACCCGGAGGGGTGGGTGGGCGCGGGTGGGCGGCGGGCGGCTGGCGCTGCTGTTGCCATGGGGACCGTGGGCGGCCGGGGGGCCGCGGGCCCAGTGTGCGCATCAGCACCGGGAGATGCCGGCACTGGTGGAGGGGGAGAAGGGGAGAGTGGTGGGTGACACCTCGGGAGTGGTATCCCCAAAGCACCCGCTATATGAAACCTAGCCAGTTTTGGGGATCCCATATCCACTCCCCTGCCCCAAGGACTTAAAAATCCAGCCCCCCCGGAATCCCACATTCCAACATTCCCATGCCCAAGTAACCCATAAATCCAGTCCTCCTCAGGGTATCATACATATCCTATAGCCCCTCCCAGGGATCTCAAAATTCACTCGCTCCACCCCCAAGAATCCTATATCCACACCCTGAAGGACCTCCAAATTCCACTCTCCCCCAGGAATCCCATATCCACCCCAACAACCACCATCTGGAGCCCATGCCAGCAGACACCCCAGGCATCCCGCTTAGGTGTCCCTGTCCTTGTCCCATAAGCAAGGTGATGGTGGCGAACTGGGCACACTCATCTCCCCAGGGGTGGCACCGAATCACTCACAGGGCCCACGGTGAGACGTGTTTATTGCAAACTGGGGGTGGTGGGTGGGGAACCGGACAAGGCAATGGCTGGGGACCCCCAGCCCACACACCACAGGGTGGAGGACTGGTGGGAAGCTGTGAGAGCCAGGCTGGGCTTAGGTGGGGCCTACTCTCCTAGGTAGCTCCCACTCTCAGACCCCTAAGTACCATGCCAGGGAAACCCGTATGTTTCTGAGGCTCCTGCCCAGCTGCCAGCTATAAGTGGTGGACCTGCAGCCCCCCCACAAACGCCAGTGCTGTGGGGAGCACCCCTGCTGCTCCCTGACTAAGGGGGAGCAAACCCTGGGGAATGACTGTGGTCTCTGCCCACTCCTGGGTGCTCTGACAACCCTCCAGTGAGGGGGGTGAAGGAGGTGGAAGCCAGGAGAAAGCCTCCCCTGGAGATGGGTAGAGGCCAGGGGCAGCACAACACCCTTGGGATACCCTGGAGTGGGGCTGGCGAGAGGATGTGGAAGTGCCAGGTAGGCAGGGTGCTGGCAGAGGCAGGCAGGGACAGGCTTCCCCATCCCCACTGCCCATACCCAGCACCCATCACCACCTGTGAGGTGCAAGGCTGTTCAGTGCCAGGGCAGGGAGGGCTCCGCATCCCCAGAAACCCCAAAAACAGTATCCTCATCCACCAAAAATAATAATGTCACCCAATGCGCTTTCTCTACTCCAGAAAAACATGGAGCATTGGCAGCTCGAGGTGAGGGGAGGGCAGGGGAGGGAAGGGGAGGAGAGGGGTCCTGGTGCCCAGGTTGCCATGGTGACAGGATGTAAATCTGCCCGCTTCCTCAGGCTTCCCCACACAGCAGGGATGGGCGCCGGCAGCGTGGATCAGTGAGTCTCGGGCACTGGCGCTGAGAGTGAGGATCCTGATGGGCATCCAGGGGCAGAGAGGTCTCCTCTCCCTGCTTTATTTTTCAGTTGTTTTTGCCACTGTCAAAACTGGACGGCGCCGGGGGAGATGTTGAACATGGAGGGGTCGAACTTCTGGCCGCGGAATGGCGAGCCCTCGGTGTCCCAGCCCTTCTTTAACATCTCATGCACCTTCTGCAAAGAGGCCGCAGGCTTCTGTCAGCCCGAGGTGACGCCACGCTGTTCCCCGCACCCCCTGCTCTCCCCTGCAGCTCATCCTACAGGCGTTGGGGCTGCGTGGCCACCTGACCCATGGGAAAGGGTGTGGGCAGCAGTCCCCGTCCTCCCTGGCTGGCAGTAGCCATTGCCAAGGGCACACACCACTTCTGTGCTCCGCCTCACTGCCTGGGAAAGGGCAGACAGCACCCAGGGCAGCACTGGGCAGCTCCTGGGTCAGGCTGAGCCATACCCATGCGGGTCCAGCCCTGAGCAGGGCCAGCTTGGGAGAGAGGTACAGTGATGTAGGGTCCATCCCTGCAACAGGGGGGCTGGGCTTACAGGCACTTGCCAAGGTGCCAGGAAAGGGAAGACAGGAGTGCACGGCAAAAGATCCATCAGCAGAACCTCACACCCCCCAAATGTTAATGTGGGGAGACACTGTGAAGAGGAGCTCTGAGATGGAGTAGAGCCATGGGGTCCCTTTTCCTGGGGAAAAGTTCCTTGAAGGGCAGATGGGAGGGCCAAGCTGGGCCGGCAGCACAGGGTAGCCAGCACCTACCAGCTCATGGCTCTGGGGCTTGCCCTGTAGCTTCTGGTGGTAGTCAAAGGTGAGGCGGTCAAGCACAGCATGCTCCTCCTCATCCACTGTGGCCATGGAGCGCTCCTTGTTGATCTTGTCAATGTCGATCTGCTCCTCGCCCTCTAGAATGGCGTTCCACCAGTACTCGTCTCCCTTGTTCAGGTTGATCTAGGGACAAGGTGTGGGTCAGTGAATGGGGAGAGGAGCCCCTGTTCTGCCCAGAATGTGGTACCCCTGCCCACCTCACAGCTCCATGGCAGTGATGCAGAGCTCCACTGACAGCAGCATGGGGCTTGGCCGTGAGTGGAAGTCAAGCTCATACTGATCCAGCCTCACAGCTGGCAGAGGGGGAGGGATGCTTGTGCCTCCCTCCTTCAGCAGCCAAAAGCTTTGCACAACCCTGCTGTGGGCCCCCACAGCCCCAGCTCAGGTCCTGCGGATGAAATCTCAGCCTATGCTGTGTCTCAAAGGCAGGACCAGTGTCCTCAGCAGCACCTGCCTAGGGGTGACACTGGCTTTGGGCCACATGGCTGACACAGCAGCAGTGACAAAGCCCAGGACTGTTGGATGAGGAGGCTGTGCCTAGTGGGGTGTGGGGCCAAGGCTCCTAGTGTGGTAATGCAGCCATCTTGCCTTTCCCTAACCCAGAAGGAACCTTGGCCTGAGCTCCCCTGGCACTGGCTCGGTGGGTGGCAGCATGGGTGGCATAAGAGGCAAGGATATCACCTGCTGCTCTGTGCCACCCCTGCTGACTGCTAGCACCTGCTTCCCATGGCACCACAGCCCAGCAGCAGCCCTGGAGGGATGGACAAGGAGATGGGCTATCTCCTTGCTCCAGCCAACATCCATGGGGAAATGGGAAAAGCCACCAGCTGTAGTCACAGGCATCCCTGATGGCAGTGCCTTGAACAGAACCGGCTGGCCAGCGGGGCTGTGCTGGGGCCAGCATGGGGCATCCTGCAATAGGAACTCCAACTTGCTTTTGGTTTTTCCAGGAAGAGTGGGCTGCTTCCTCCCATGTTATTTTAGCACTAATCCCAGCAGCAGGGCAGATTTATAGCATTCGTCGGCCTCTGCAAAATCATCAATAAAGGCAGACAATACAATTTGCTCAAACCTCCCTGGAAGCTCAATAGTTCCGGAGGGGAGAACATGGACAGCCATTCCTGCTACGGAGCCAAGCTTCTCTGTGGTGCGAAGAAAAGGAACCAATTAATACAGGAGGGGGTGGCTGGGGTTTAATCCTTCTGGGAGAGCGGAGCCGGTAAAACATTCCAGCTTGGGGAAGGCGTTAGTTTTTCCAGCTAGACAGGCATGCTTGTTCTCTTTTTAATTGCACAGTTCCACTATGGAGGGGAGGGAGAACCACCAAGGGTTTGCTCATGGGCTTCCCAACCCTGGGTGGGCAGGTGGGGGAGTGAAGGAGCCCCCAGAACGTCACCCTGAGACAGAAAGCAAAGTGGAGGGGCAGCAGCCCCAGCTGTCCCACACTTGGAGCAGGATGGCCTTCACACTCCTCAGGTTTGGAATATGAGAGATGTCCCTGTGGTGCTGCTGGCAAGGTGTGAGCTTCCCTAGTGAGGGCTCCAGCATAAGCCATGCTCCCATGGCATTGCTGTGAAACACTCATGGCTTGGTATATCCCTACCAGAGCCAGCCTGCTGGCAGAGGGACAGACAAGTATTGGAGGAGTTCAGGCATCACCCCAACTCCATCCCAGAGCACTGGGGGATGGAAAACCCATCCCGGAGCATCTGGGATGAAACTCTTCCCCCCCTCCCTTCCCTACCAAACCCCCTTCCTTCATTGACACCCTGCCACCACCTGCACACCTCTGCAGCCTGTCTGGGGTGATCTGTTCATCCCTCTTTATTCCAAGGGGAAAGCTGTCAAAGTGAGACTCGCTCCATGTGAGCCCGTTTCTAAAATGAAATGCCCATGGGTGAGGGCAAAGGTCACCCTATTCACGTGAATTTGCAGTTTTGTGGTTCAAGGCGGTGCTGGAGGACTTGCTGCAGACAGGTCCCACCTCCAAGATGGGGGACAGACATAGGCCATGTTGCTGGACAGTTTCTTCCCGTTGCCCTCTGTGGATCCAGCCGCTGCTTGGCTGAGTGTGTGGGTTATGAAAGCCAGTGGTGATGGAGATGCAGCTGGTTCCCCTCACAAACACTTTGCATGCCCAAAGGTGGAGATAAGGGAGAGCTGAGAGGCCATGGTAGGTCTCTGGATGATTCCCCACACATGCCAATCCTCACCCAACCGCCTGCCCATGGAAGAGGCTCTGGCACTCAGCTGACAAGTCCCCACGAGGCTGTGGGCACTGCTGGGGAAAGCTCCGGAACTGGGGGGCTCCAGGAGGGAGCATGGCTTCTTCCACAAGGACAAACCCCGACCTGATTATATTTCTCACTTTGAGACAAGACAAAGCTTTGCCTGCACTTGACGCTGTTGCTCAGTTTTCCAGCCAACAGCTCTGGCTGGTCCCCCAAGGCCCCTGATATGCTAAGAGCCACTGAGGAAGGATGAGGTCCCTGCGGTATGCCCATGCCCTCAGTCAGATTTCGGCTCTGCCTGGTGGGTCCCAATGGGGTAAAAGCACAGCTGAGTTTTTGGGGTGCACAGGGAGGCAGGAACAGCCTCTGCAACAGTGGCCTGAGGAGAGGGAGGCTTGCAGGAGGCATACCCCAATGCTGGATGCGAACCTGGCAGTGTCCTCATGCTGAAGTGCTCACTTTCCACAGCCAGTGTCCAAGCTATGAGCTCTCAGCTACGTCAGAATGGGCTATTCCCTGGAAAAGCACCAGTATAATGATGTATTGCAAGGAGAATTGCTGCACAAACAATGGGACACTCAGCAAGAGAAACCCTCCAGCAGGTGACAGGTGTCACTGGCATGAACACAGCATCACGTCCCATCTCCACACCCTACTTGGAAGGTCGCAACCCCTCATTGTCGGCGCTGGGCTTCGCGGTAGCACAAAGCTTCCTCTCTGATGCCAAGTACCCTGTCAAACCTGGAGAGATGCTGCCAAGTGGTGTAAGTAGGTCTTGGGAAGACAATGACCACCTGTCTGCTTTCCTGTTGGAACCACAGCAGCCAAAGTCACCTCAAAAGTCATTGGGAGGTGTTTAGGGAGACAAAAAAGGTAGCAATGCCATTCTCATCAGTATGGGGGGGGCAGGGCTGAGCACCACTGAATTGTATCCCCTCAGCCTCATGGCTCACAGGATGACAAGCCAAGACTGTAATAAACATTCAAGGCAGGACTTGCTGACAAAAACCCAAGCATGGAAAACAAAGGCTGAGGGAAAGAGGAGGAATGGGAGAAAAATCCTCCACAACGAAAATAATACCAAAAGGAGTTGTGCACAACACCCAGTGGAGATTGCTAAAAACAGCGAGGTTATTTTAATCTCGCTTCAACAAGCGAGCGGGTGTGACGGAGAAGGGAGAGCACAGGGATGACACCCAGGACCAGGGTACCGTGTGGCACACCTGGGACAAAATCCCAAGCAGGAGGTACGGACAGGCCCCCACTCCACGTCAGCAGAGCACTCCACTGCGAACAATGTCAGCTGGATTCTGTGCCAAAGGATGAGATGAGAAACGTGCTGGTGTCAGGTTGGGCCCCAGCTTTGAGAGCTCCATAGAGCAAGAGGCAGAAGGCAGAGTGGTCTCTGAATGCTGGTGAGGGGAGTTCTGGGGCTGCCGGAGTGCGAGTGACATAATGAAGAGGATATATGAGTAAGAGCACCAGGCAGGATGGGGGAAGCAGAACTAGGATGGGTTGTAAGGCAAAATAATCTTGCCAGGATAAGAGCTGGAGGAGAAGGGAGTCTGCTCATGGCACGCCTGTGAATGGCATCCAGAAGGGAGCTGGGAGGAGGCCAGGGAGGCTGAGGACAGTGAAAAATCTGTTACAGCAGCCTCCTGAACAATCTGGGGATCTTGATGATCCCTGACACGTTCTGCAAGAGGACATAGGACTCAACAGCCTCTTTGCACAGAACTGAGACATTTTCAGACAGGAAAGGCAAGACACAGGACCAAGCAAGAGACACTCCACCTCCTTGGTGCCAAGACCGAGTTCTGCTGCAGAAATCACCTCAATTCACGGACCATGACCATGCAGCACGGACAGGTCCATCAAGGTGCCCCAAGCAGTCCCCAAGGCAGGCAAGATCTCCTTGGATAACCCCAGCACTGGGTGAGTTCAGTTTTGGCTACATCCACACCCTGCCAGGGAACGCCATCCCTGGGTCCCACAGGGAAGCCAAGCAGCACCTTGCAGGAGGGAGACAGCCCAACTTCTGCATTTGGAGGTCACACAGAGCAATGCACAAACTGGGGCACAGAAAGGGTCCATATGCCCCATAAGCTCCAAATAAACCCCAATGACCCCATCCAGACACTGAATGAAAAAACACATTCCCACAGGGGTAGGTGTCCCCTGATGAATGAATTGGGAGAAGGTGCAAACTGTTCCTGGCTACTCAGCACATGGAAAAAGGAGATGCTCTTGGGCGAGAATTACTCACTCTGCTCCAGTTACCTTACAATTCTTCAAGCGAGATCTCATCCCACCATCAATATGTTGGCAGCCAGCTGGAGATCCTCATAAGCCTGGGCTCGTGCTATTTGAGGCAAGACCCAGCTCTGGGGTTGGGGGTGATGGGCCCACTCAGCTCCCCACGCTGCCCGCGGCCACTCCAGGAGGCACCGAGTCTCGCTCCACCCGCACCATTCTCAGCCTCTGACGGGTACTGAAGAGACACTGCCTCCCTTGCTGATGCTGGGAACACCCACAGGGGACTTCCAGACTTCCATCCACACTGTGAAGCAGCCACCCGTTGGGCCACCTCCTCTTCAATGGGTTTATGCCTTTCCAGGATTGTTTCTTTGTCCCAGATAAGCTAATTTTCAGTATGAGTATTTACAAAATGCAGGTTAGGGATGGCACTACCACATCTCTTCAGTGGCCTAGCAGCATTGGAGAAGCTTCTCTTCCTTGCAGGGACCTCACTCACCCTTTTGGCATCAGCCTGTCACCTGAGGTACATCCCGGCGGATCAGCAATGGTCAGGCACTGTGCAGCCTCCCCACACACCATCTGCAGGATTCCTGACTCTGGCAGCACATTCCCACTCCATTCTCCTCTGCGAGGGCTTGGATTTGGGTGCTCACCTGCTGCCACCCTCATGCCACAGGGAGAAAGGCCTGGCGCCAGCTCTCTCCCTCACAGGGACAGCATGTGTTCCCTCCTGGGTCTCACAACAGCCTTGGGACTCCTGAAACTCTCCTGGAAAAGCCTCTGGATGGAAAAGGATAGGGCAAAGATGGCCATAGGTAGCAAAATCCTACTCCTAGCATAATCGTGGCCTCCAAACTGGCATATAAACTTTGGAAAGTGTTTGACACTCAAGATCCCACGGTGATGGGCAGAACTCCTGCAACAGCTCCAGCTGTGAACACCCTTAGCCTGAACATCTGGAGCACATCAGAAATGAGGCTTGGGGCTGGGAACTCACCAGTAATACACAGCAGGGCACTAGCAGCCCTGAGACCACCTGAACAGGAATGATTTCAGACAACAGGCACACAGCAAACCACAGGCTTGCTGGAGGCAGAAGAGCCACAGTGTCCACATCAAACAGGACAAGCAGGAATCCCATGACAGGACAGAAAGGAATGATGGGGAACAGGCACCTGCCAAGATGCTGGGGTTGGAGTGGGGCCAGGAGCATTAGAAGGCAGAGTAAGCAAGGCCACGTGTGCAGGACCAGCACTGCAGTGCAGGGCACCATGCCAGGATTGAGGAGAGTGACCACCCCCAAGTAATGGCTGTGCTGTCCCCCCTCAGCTGGACCTGGGGACCCCTTTGCCCAGCCTGACAGTCGTGCTGCCCAGCTGGCACCCTGACAGGCAACTCACAGGTAGGAGGCAAGGCAGAGCACACAGGCAAGGGCAGCATGAGCCAGATGTTGGACAGGCAAAGCCAGACACATCCAGAGCTGGCTCAGACTTCCAGCTGCTCCAGTTTCCTAGGTCAAGCATGGCAGAGCTGCAAGCCAGGGAGACACAGCTGGTGTAGACCACCCTTACCAAAATGCACTTCCCAGGCTCCAGGCTCCACAGGGAACTCTCCGTGTTGATCTTGTGGGTGAGTTTCCCTTCCATGAGGATGTGTTGGCTGCTTCCCTCCAGCACTGCTACACGAATTGTACCACTGCTGATATCCACAGACACCTGGAAACAAAGAGAGAGACAACAGTCTGGAAGGCTCCTGCTTGCCATCTCACTGTGCAAGCTGGGGTTTGGGATCAAGTGCACTTTCAGGGGATGAAAGAGAGAAGAGCTTCCAGCCCAGCCTGTAGCAGCAGGGTGGGAATCCCACTGTTCTCTCATAGCAAACAGTGACAGTTTGGAGAAGAGAGGGAACCTCCTCAGGGAAAGAAAAGCAGTACAGCCCAGCAATTGGGGAGACCCTTGAGGGATTCAAGGCAGCTGGTTCTACCCCCGTGCCTCAGTTTCCCCTCAAAGATGACTAGTAATGCTACAGGCCTTCAAACAGCACTCAAAGGTTGGGCACCTACTTGCTGTGAGAGAGCTCTTTAGCGGCGTGTCTGTCACTGTGACAAGCTGGGCATGAGTGTGTGTCACCCTGATAGCTGAGCAGGGAAAATTTGGGGGTTCCTACACTAGGGCTGCAGCAGGTCATCCCCTTTGCTGCACCATGCTGAAAGCGTGCTCCTTGGCTCTGCTTCAGCTGCTGGAGCCAGCACTGGGCTCAGCCCATGCCTCCCATCGGGTGTGTGAGGAGGGGCTGTGTGCAGGAGGAATGCTGCAGCACGCTCTCCTGGCTCCCTGCTACATGGGCAGCTCCGTCCCCAGGAACGGGGCCAGTTCCCACCCACAGCAGCCATATGGGGAACCCTGCTCCAACCTGCCGTGCAGGTGACATGGCTGTCCCCTGGGGAGACAGAGGCAGGCTGTGAGAGGCACGCAGTACTCCTGGTCTCCGTAGAGACCGTATGTTCTCTCTTGTCCCCTCTAGCCCTGAGCTGCCGCCAGCAGCACCCGCATCAAGCCAGGGGATGTAGGGAGGACCTGGCTGGGAAAGGGGCAGGATTGTGGCCCCCAGTGCTGGCCGAAGAGGAGGAGACTGCAGTGAGATTTGCCTGCATTCTCTCCCAGAGTTCCCCCAGATCTTCCTTCTGCTCTGCAGATCTCATTTGAAATGTTATTACATTATCCATTACCTAGGAGACTTACAGCAGCTCACTAGCTCCACACAGGCAGAAGACAGGCAGAGCTGCTCCAGCCAGGGAGGGCACCACGGCTGTGTCTGATTGATGTCACCAGGGTACAGCCCCCAAACCTGCTGTGTGCTCTGGCAGGAGCAGAGGAGGCCTAGCACACAGAGCACAGGGTGACTGATGTGGGACCGAGCCCCAGTGTGATGGCTGGGAGCAGGACCATGCTCATAGGGGATCGGGGAAGGGACATGAGGATGGGAGAGGACAACAGGCTGTCACCGGGCATGTGGCTATGGACAGCCTCTACAAGAGCAGCTGTCCTGGGATGCAAACACCTCCAGAGGAGGTGCTCCCTCCAGCCCAGTGCTGACACCTCACTGCAGAGACGAGGCATGGGCATGAGGCTCTGCTTTCCACTACCACTATCCACTCAGGTCCCTAGTGCAAGGACAGAGCTACTGATACTGGGCTCTCAGCATGGTACAGGGCCTGCCCAGAAAGGACTAAGGGGAAAAAAGCAAGGTGACTACCAAGTAACCTCTGGGGAGAAATTCTCTGGAGCGTGGAGGGCCAGGAAAGCTGGAAACACGGAAGGCACAGGCACAGCATTGTGTCTGTGGGATCCGTGTGGACAAGAACAACCAAATGTGAGAGGGCTTTTATTCACAGATGGCTGCACAAGATACCTGGTGGGGCTGAGGGACACCTTTTAGGTGGCTCTGGGACCAGCCACGCATTGGGAAAGGGAGCAGAGAAACCCAAATGGAAGAAGAGATACAAACCGGGAAGACTTCACCTGGCCACTTCACTGTGCAAGTAGCCAACATAAGAAGCGATTGCAACACCTGCTTCTACTTGCACCTAGCAAGAAGGTCCCACCCAGCACATCAGCCCCCCCAGGAGTAGGGACAGGGGTAACACATGACCTACTGGAGAGGCCTGCCCCTCCGTGCATGGAAGGACATATCTGAGAGGACTCGTGTGCACAAGGCGGTACCTTTGGACAGCCCACACCTGGGGGAAGGCCAAGAGCAACCCACAGTACTCTGGCAGCTGTGAAGCTGCTTGTCCTTCCCCATGTGCTCCCTGCGAGCACCTCTGCTCCCCAAAACACTTGGCTGCCCCAAGGAAAGCCAGCTCTCGTCTGTGTGCTGTGGCCTTTTCACCACAATGATTTTGTGCACACTGAACACCCACGCCCTCCCACGCAGCTCAAACAAGCAAATACAAACTAAGAGGAATCAAGCTTGTCTCGAGTCCAGCAAAGAGGGAGGCTTGGAGTCATTACCTCTATTTAAATACTCAGATCCATGGGCTCCCGCTGCGCCCAGAAGTAGATCAGAGAGGTAGGGACCATGGAGGAAGATGCTTTCACCTACCCAACTGCCCATTCCAGCTCCAAAGACACCTGAGCTCCATACAAGGAAACCTTAAGCTCACCAGAGCGAAATGCGCCATAGCAACAGTCTGAATCCCAAAAGTTCATAAGGAAGACTGTGAGCAGCATTAGAGTTGGGTGCACTCTGAGCTCAGGGACCAAATAGGGAAATTTTTAATCTCGCCTTGGCAGGCAGTAGCCAAAAACCCGGTAATTTTTTTTTAAATATGAAGTTGTCTGAATGCAGGAAAATGTTGCTCTTGTGCAGGTACCTATGGAACAACACATCCAAAGTCCACTGAGCTTTTAAATTGCTCTGAGTCCTCCTGCTCTGGCCCAAGACTCAGCCTGTCTGTTCTCATTTCCCCAGCGCTGGGAATACATAGAATCACTTGGAAATGGAAACTCAGCTGCCAAGAGGAGCCCCAAGAAGGATGGATGAACAAAACACCAGAGGAGGAAGAAGAGGAGTGCAAGGAGAAGGGAAGTCCAGCATCCGAACAACCAATTGCTTCAAGAGGGCAGTGTGGGCAGATACTGAGGCAAGGGTAGGCAGAGCCATGCCACGGGCACTGGCATGGGAAGGGGGTGTCTTGAAACCCCCTGAGGTGCAGGGACTCTTCTACAGTGATGGCACAGTCTTGAACCAAGGAAAGGTCAGGAAACCATATTCTGTCTCCACTCCTGTGAGCTCCTGCAGGCTCCTAAACCTCTCCATGGCCAAGGATGGAGCAGACAGAACCCTACGTGGGGTTTTTGGCAAGGACATAACTTCTCTGGCATGGAGAAAACTTCCTCAGTCCGGGAGAGGAATTGCGATAGAAGTATGATGCAGAGGAATGGAATATCCATCTGAACATCCCAGAATCCTTTCAACAAACAGCCTGGGTTTATTTTAGAGACCCACTGGGAGAGATGCATCTTCCTGGTGCCCTGCTGTGCCTGTGGCAGCCTTGTGCCCCCTCAACCCTCCAGCCTGGGCTGCTGCTGCCAGTGACATTCCTTGGCATGCTGAGGAGCTGTGTAGGCTGAAGCTAGCGACAAACTCCAGCATGCTCCTTTCAGCCACCCTGGAAGCAGAGGAGAGCAGAAGGTGGGGGAGCACAGGCTTCCCAAATGGAAAAATACAGAGGAAAGGGCAACACTTGGGTCTGACTAAGGCCAGCCGTGGACACACTACTTATGGGTCCCCGACCAGAAGGGAGCAGAAGCGGTGCAGGAAAAACAATGTGAGCACAAGCAGAATGGGGAAGTTCTCGCCTGAGCCAAAGAGAGAAGCAAGACCTCTCTGTGCACGAAGCCAGCCGGGGGAGGGGCTGGTCCTCAGCCTCCACCCCAGGCCGGCTCCCTTCCATCTAGAGCAGGTCAAGCCACACAGGGGCTGTGCCTGATCCATCTCTCCAGTGCCAGAGGAGCCGTTCCAGCAGCTCCGGCTTCCAAACAGAAGGCAGCAGACACTCAGAGCCAGAGGAACAACTGAGGAAGGGCATCCATCCCCAGCCATGCTCTGAAACACATGTGTGAATATGCAGGTAGTGGAAGAAAGAAGCACAGAAAGGGCGAATCAGTGCCAGAGAACCTAGCTGAGATGGAGCAGAGGACACTGCAGCACAACAGGAAAATGGACAGGCTGTGATCTCAGTCCCCACCAGACTCACATTGGAGAATAAGGCACAACCACATCCTGGTCCTTCAGTACAAAAGATAAGGAGCCTTTCCGCTCCAAACGCAGTTTCCCAGGAAAGTTGTGCACCCCAATGGACAGGGAAATGCTAAGCAGACGCCACTAACACCACTTTACCTGTTTGCCTTTGACAATGTGCTTGGGTACAGGCACTTTGATTTCCAGGTCACTGTAGTCTTGGGACCACGTGTAATTCTCTCGCACAGCTCCATTGTAGCTGTCGGGGTTTGTCTGGAACTGCTCCTGTCTCCTGGTGGGGGGAGAAAGGGATGCCATGTTAAATGTCAGAGAGATCAGAGCCTGGAGAGAGCAGGAAGCCTGAGAGCAGGATGCAAGAAACCAAAAGGGAGGGCATAGCCTCTACTTGGCCCTCCTACAGCATCTCCAAGGCTGGGCTCCTGCCAAGTCTCTCCCTCACTGCTGGCTCTATGGAAGGGAGAAGGTCCAAGTAAGCAGCCACAGCACAGAGGCACCACAGCTATTCTGCCCACTGTGGGTGATCCATAGTCCCCTCTCCCCAGTCTGCTGCAGCAGCAGTCAGGCTGCTGAAAGGACAACTGGTGAGACACACGACAGTTTGGCTGCCTAAGAGGTGCAGAGCTGGCCCTCAGTGGGCCCAGGGCACCTTCCTGGCTACTCCTGCTCCAGTACAGAGTCCCTCGTTCCCTCCAATTCCCATCACAGTGGGAGCAGGGACACTGGCATGTGCTGGGTGTAAGCTGTCCCCCAAGCCACTGTCACGACTGAAGAGGTGGTGGCCTACGGTTGTGACCTGAGCTCACCATGAAAACACAGCACTGGTTCTCACCCTGATTTTAACATTAAACCACCAGCTGTTATGACCAGGGCAATTGTTTACATGGAGGTGATGGAGCTGGGGACCAGGATCCCTCAAGAGCCATCCCAGGGTACCTAGACAAGTGAATCATGAGCAACATTTTGAGCACACTTCCCCTTCCAGCTGTGGAAATGTCAGAAAAGCTGAGGAGATGGCTGCAGGGGTAAGATGGGGTTTATCAGATCAATAAGCAATAATCAATACAGTGTTTACAGCCAAGAAAGGAGATCACCACACCTATATCCCTTTAAACTGCAGTGCTGGGGATCTATTTCACTGAACACTCACAGAGAAGGCTTTCAAAAAAAATCAAATCTCTTCTAAAGATAGCTATGGTACTAACAAAAGGCAGAGTTATTTTAAAATGTTTTGATACCCACCTAGGCTTCAATATAGAGCTGGATAAACATGGGGCTCAGGGACTTATGTAAAGGGCGGGCTGGTGAAGACCAGCCCCAGGGCACAGACAGTCCTGGGGAGCCTATCCTCCTGTGCCCCACTGCCTCCCTGACACCCCCACTCTGGGGGGCCCTCACTAGTATGGGGTGGGGTTGGCTCCAGCAGCATAGTGCCCTGAGGGTTATGTAAGAACCATCTATTTAAATTAAATTAGGCTGTAAGACAGTCAGAGGGGCTGTCAACGTGGCTGTGCACACCTCCCCAGTTTTCTTCCCCTATGGTTTCACCAGATGTACTAAGGGCTTCATCTGCTCTGTTATACCTGTGGACTGGGGTGGTTCTGATCCACTCCCAGGCACTGAAGGCACTACTGGGACTGGCGGCATTCACAGGCTCCCAGCCTCAGCTGGCCATTTCAGGGGGCATCGCATCATTTTTCGGGCATCTTGGCCTTGCCTGGCAGTCGCCCATTGGGTGCCCATTGCCATGGAAACAGGGTTGGCATGGCAGCGCGCACCGGGCTGCTGCGTTGGCTCCAGCTGTCGCTTCCCAACCGCCCCCGGATTGTAGGAGTCAAACAGGCTGGAGGGCGAGAAGCCGAATGGTGCAGGCAACCAGGGGCTGTGGTGACAGGGCCTTCAGGGCCCCTGGCTCACCCCTGTGGGAAGCAAACTGTGCTGAAATGCTGTGGCATGTCCCCAGGCATTGCCCTAGGCATAGGTCCCCACCTAGGAACAGCCCAGTGGTGGCACCCAGGTTGGCTCTCAAGGCACAGCTGTCTCAGAGACCACTCTCCACCAGCCCCCGCAGGGAGGAGGATCTGTGTGTAGCCACGCACAGCACAGCTTCATGGGATTCCTGCCCTCCATCCCAGGTTGCCCACGAGGCCACACAGAGAACCAGAGGACAAAGCTGACCTGATTTTAAAGCCAGCTGGGTTTTTTATCTCCTAAGAGAGTGTTTCCTTCTAAGCAGTATGTGCCACTTTCTGTTCTTCTGCAATCTTCAGGGGCAGCAGCATGGAGGGGGTTCTGACACCCCATAGTCCTACCTGTATCACCCTTCAGTTCTCTGTAGCCTCCCTCCAGAAGCCAGGCTTTCTGGATCAGTGGCCATGCTGGCCAAGGCAGAGCCCAACCTGGTGCCTCCCAAACCTGCCACCAAGACACCTGGAGGAAGCTGGAGTTGCCATCCAAAGTGTCTGTGGCTCCCTGCAATCACGAAAGAACCTGACAAGAACCATCAAACGGCTGTTTCCCCTGGCCTGCTCCCTTCTGGACCTCTCCTGGGAAAATCTCAAAAGGGAGCAGGAGGAGGCAGTGGGCCTATGCCCAGCCAAGGCTCCTGACATCAGATGCAGATCATCAAAGATGGGAGAAAAATCCACCGGTAGAAAGGCACGCATTGTGAGACGCCAGCTGCAAATGCCATACTGCCTCAGCATGGATAAATACAGCAATCAGTTGCTGTCACAAAGCGATCAGGTGTGTCCTGGAAGTGCCTTCTCTTCCTCAGAAGAGCACCAGGGCAGATCCCAGCCAGGCAGTTCTGGATGCTCTAGCCCCACTCGGAGCTTACCAAACGCAATCTCACTGTTATGAGGGCATGAGTGGACTCATCAGCCCCACAGCCATTGTTAACTGTGCAATAAGGAAACGGAGGCAGGACTTGCTCTGCAGGGCTTTGTCCAATGTCTCTCTGCACGGTATAGGGACTGTGCAGGTGACAGCAGCCTTACTCCCAACCTGACTGTCCCTGTGGGACAGCTCTGTCATTCTCCAGAGCTGTTACTGTGCTGTACCTGGAGCATGGCTGGGTGACAGAGGGATGTCACTGCCACCTCTGCCATTGCATGCAGCTCACTGGACAAGCTCAGCTCCACTGCCTCGGTCTTGCAGCCCCTCATCCAGCTTCAGGGGGAGAAGCTCCCTCCAGCCATGGCTGCTCATCCTGGGGATGTGAGTTCCAGTGGCATCACTTTTCCATTCCTCTCCTCCCCAACATCCAGTCCAAATCCCTCCAGCTGTTTTCCCAAGACACCACCAACCTCTGCTTCAGCTCTGTTTCCAACGCTAAAAATCCATGCAATGGCCTTTGTACCCCTGAACAGGATCACTGGGGGACTCACGAAGCCTGGATAATTCCACTGCCAGTGTAACTGCCAGCTCTGGCGTCATGGAGGCTATCCAGGAGGGTGGTGATGGCAGGCCGCAGCCTTGTTAGGCACTGCTGACAAACGGCTGACAGCTCCACCACCTCCTGAAGCAACTCTTCCTTTCCTGGAGGTTTTCCAACCAGATCTCTGCCTGGTCCAACTCTGCTTAACACACACCAGTGGCACTCCAGAATTGGACCCTGCTCCTTGGCTGGGGGGCAGCTTCCCTCACCATTCACAGGGGACAGCTATGGCTCACAGCATGCTGGGCCAAGCCACGCGAGAGGTGGCTCTCCTGGCCAAAAACATCCATCATGTTGTCTCAAGAGCACCACTGTGCAGCGGGCAAGAGAACCTCCTGCACCAACACCACAGTTTCTACTTCCAGACCCACCAAGTGAAGAGGGAGGAGAGATCCAGCACACAGCGTGGGTTGGGCAGCGATTGTCCCAGCAGTACAGCTGCTCCTGGTGCGACGGTCACTCACCAGACTGCCTGAATGCCTGCTGGGCTGGGGCAGGTGGTGGCAGGACTGAGGAGAGGGAGGGTGACAAAGCACCAGCTTTTAAACCCAAGGGTTTGGCACTGCGTGCACTTGGCTGCCGGGTGGTGGGGATGGTGGGGGTGGGTCTATGTGTTCTGTCTTGTTCTATTTTTGCTTGCAATGTGTCATTTTGGGGGAGGTGAAACCTTTAACAATGCACCGTCGAGAAGCAGCCGATCTGTTTCCCACTCCTCAGAGCCACATGGCACAGCATGGCTGCGCAGTCCCTGGGACTGGAGCCACTCCCTACGTAAGGGGTGAGACCCGCAGCAGCAGCACAAGGGAACCAAGACCCCCTGAGAGGTGGCAATGTTGTCCCTGGTGGGCATGCTGGATGTCTGAGAATTAGCCCCATACACAGATTTCTGGGCATTTCTTACTCCGGGATTCCCAGCTCCGTGGGCTGGTGACGCACGATAAGCTGAGCAATGTGGAAATGGCAACAGCAATCCTCGCTTTGCGGACAGTCAGCTGAACGCATTTCTGTCCTTGGAGCTCAGCTGCTGCAGCACCAACTCTGTGAACACAGTGCTGGACACAAACAAAGAGCAGGAACCAAACACACCAAAGGATCTGGTTGTTTGAGTTGAGAAGAAGCAGGGCAGCTCACCAAGTTCCTCTTCATTGAGGAGTTTTGGTGCAAGCATGCAAAAATTGAGGAAAAGACACAGCAGCATGAGGAGCAGAGGTGGGAAAGTGTCATGGGAGGGAACTGATACAGCATAATCCAAGTGGACCAAGGATTTTGAGAACAACTCAATGAAAGTGATCCTCTCAGCCTGGAGCAGTTCAGTTTTCCAAGGCAGGACCCCTGCCCTCTCAGGAAGAGAAGTCCAGGATACCTGGATCTAGCAGTCAAGGATGCCACAGCTCAGCGGCCAGTACAGCAGACATCCTCCCATCACTGTCATTCCCAGAGAGCTTCCTCCAGAGCTGGCACTGCTGTTTGCTATTAGTCAAGGTGAATTATTTAGGCAGCTTTAACGAAAACATGTTAGGCCAGATGTGGAAATATGGAGGAAGGATGAGAGGAGCAGTACACAGTCTGTCCCCCTGAAACTTATGCTGCAGGTAGCACAGGGCTGCTGGGAACCAGCACCACATCAGCAGTCACCATCCCCCTGCCACGGCAACACTTGGGTAACCCACCTAGGGTCGACTGTCAGACCCCTAGCAGCCTCCAGGCCTTCACACTATCACAAATCCCTCTTCCCTCCTGGGGAAGCACCTTGCACCACACCTGCATCCTGCCCTCTCAGCACTAAAGGGGCTGCATGAAGCCCAGCAGGGCAGCAACCATAGAGCAGTGCCAGC